AGGCCAAGGAGACCCCACCAGATGGACTTGAACCAGTGTCCAGTCTATAAAGAGGGGGGTCAACATGGAGGAATCATTTCCTCCATGCTTCCAAGAGAAGCCAACAATGGTCAAGCAGGACCTTTGACTTATCTTCACATAGATGGAACTGGTAAGACAAAGGAGCCAGGGGCTCCTCCCAAGCCCATGTGCCCCCTGAGGAACAGATCCTCTAAACAGCCTTAAGAGTAAAAATAAATTGGTTTATCTGGACCAACTGCATGGCCTTAAACACCCAAAAGGAAAGTATTCTCTCTATATAAGTTTTACACAACTTACTAATTTGTTCTATCTTTTTATTTATGAAAAATTTTAATACACACACTATAGAATATTGTAATGAATTCTCATGTACTATTCTTAAGATCAACAAGAATTAATTCAGCCATCCTTCTTACATGTGGAACCCCACTTACCTGTCTAGCTCACTCTTATTTTTCCCTTTAGGAAAGTTCCTGCTCAGTTATATGTGCACAGATACCCAAAACATGCAAACCTTTACTGTGAGCTGAGGGCTTTGCCATAACCGAAGTCTCCTTACCCCTTCCAGTGCCTTACATCCCGATTTCTATTTTATCAGATTGCAAGAGCAAAAGTCTGCTTTATTTTCTTTATCTTTTTTGCCTAGAAAAAAGTCTGAAAAGACTATTAATACTGGTCATTTCTAAATAATGGAATTTTTGAGCATTTAATTTACTTTTGAGACTATTGTGCTTTCCTTTATTGCTCTAGTAGACTTTTCCTAAATAATAATAATAATAATAATAAAGTCATTATTCTGAGGAAATCAGTTTGCCTGAAAATCTATCACTTACCATCAAATTCAGTTAATTCTGTGATCTTCTTTAATTCTGGCTTAGGAAGGTAAACTCCAAAATTTTGAAGACATGTATTTAAATCCTCATAAGCAATATTTTCATTCCGAATTTTATTAAGGCCTTTGATGATACTACTCAACACCGAAAATAAAGCAGTATGTTAGTATTAGTATTAAATATAATTTAAACAGAAAGCACCAATACTAAGATGTCAGCTCTAACAATAACTTAACAAAAATATAAAAACCCTTTAGAAATGTTACATTATAAAAGCATAACCAGAATGCTTTAAGGTTTTATTTTGGTTTGTTTGGATTTCTGTTGTTGTTATTGTTGTTGTTATTTGAAGATAGGGTCTCATGTAGCCCAGACTGGCATGACATCAAACTCCCTTTGTAGTTGAATATGACCTTGAACTTCTGATGCTGAGATTACAGGCATGTGCCACTGTGCCCACAGTTCTGGGGATTAGACCTAGAGCCACATGCATGATGGGTAAGCACTTGACCAAACTGAGTTGTACACCCAGCTCCAAAATGCTTAATGCTGAAAATCAATAATTACCAAAATCATTCAAAAATATTCTACTTTGAGATAAAGAGATGACTCCGTGGTTTAGAGCACTTGCTGCTCTTCCAGAGGAGCCAGCACCCACATTGGACAACTCACAACCACCTGTAAATTCAGCTGTAGGGGATATAATGCCCTCTTCTGGCCTGCATAGGTACTCCACACATGTGATGTACACACATACACTCAGGCCCACACACACACATAAAATGGTAAATAAGTAAATAAAAATATTCGACTTTGCTATATCAACATACATTGACAATACCACCACTAAAAATATATAGAAATAAAAATACTATGAGAATTTCATACCTAATTCAACAAACTCAAATTCCTTAGAGGTTTACAATCCTTAATGATAAATTGAAATACAGTTTTGTGAGAATGTGTAACTCAGTCCTTGGTAAATTCATTAGCTTATCCTCTATAACTATAAATGTTATTACTTGGAAAAAGTATCCAACATCTCTTTTATAATATCTTGGAATCTATACTTCATTAACTTTGTCAGTATTTCCTCCATTAAACTTAAATGACAAATTTGTACTGCAATTAAAGCATTCTTAAAAGAAATACCTCAAAAAGATAAAATTTTAAAAGAGGCTGATAAGACTAGAATTCATCTAGTTAAATCCTAGCACTCAGGAGGCAGAGGAAGGCAGATCTCTGTAAGATCCAGGACAGCCAGGTCTACAGAAAGAGTTCTGGGTCACCTGGAATTGTAGAGAGACTGTCTCAAAAATAATTTTTCCAAAGTAAAAGTGATATCATAAATCATTTGAAGGAAAAATAAGATCTGAAAAAGAATAATGCACTGCTAGGTGTGGTGGTGCATGCATTTAATCCCAACACTTGGGAAGCAAGGCAAGCAGATCTCTGTTAGTTCAAGGCCAGCCTGGTCTACATAGTGACCAGCTGGAGATGCTGTATCAAAAATAATAATAATATAATAATAATAATAATAATATGCACACAGAGACACTTAAACAATGAAAAAAGGTTTCCTCTAATGTAAGATTCAGATACAAAATGTAAGAAATCTGGGCAGTAAAGGGCATTACAGAATTGTCAATAATGAGCTTCATGCAGTCACTGGAAATCAAGATGGATTTCTACACAAGAAAGAAAAGTGACTAATTAGTGTCTCTAATCCTTTACTCTTTTTAAATATTTTATTTATTATTTTTATTTTGTATGTTTGAGTGTTTTGCCTGCATGTAAGTGCACCATGTTGTGTGCAATGCCTGCAGAGGCCAGAAGAGGGTGTTGGGTCCCCTGGAACTGGAGTTATGGATGGTTATTAATTGCCATCTGGGTGCTGGGAATTGAACCCCAATCCTCTGGAAGAACACCAAGTGTTAACTGTTAAGCCATCTCTCCAGGGCTCTAGTCCTTCACTCTTTAACGATTCAAAGTTAATCTGTCAAAGACAGCTAAGGCAGAAGAGATGCTCTGAGGGGCCTGTCCTAGTTTCATTTCTGTTGCTGTATAAAATTCCCTGATAAAAACCAGCATAAGAGAGGAAAGGGTACATTTGGGTCACAATTCCAGATTATACCTCATTATTATAGGGAAGTCAAGGCAGGAATGTAAAGCCACAGTCAAGAAAGGAGAGAATAAATACACGGATGCTTGCTTGCTCTCTGCCTATGCTCAGCTAGATTTCTTCAGGGCACAGTTCAGGGCACAGTCCATGAAATGGTGCCTCCCACATTCAGGGTGAATCTGCCTACCTCATTTAACAATCAAGACACTCTCCCACAGATACCACTGACTGACCTGATCTAGATAATTCCTCGTTAAAACTCTCTCCCGATTCAGCCTCCTGAGTGCTGGAATTGTAGGCATATACCATATCTGACAGTTCATGGAAATGTATTTCCAGCTTGAAGTTACAATGAACAGAACTAAAACTGATACTTATTTTCAAAATGAAAAAATTCTGGGACCAGGGGTAGTTCAGCAGGTAAAGGTACTTGCTATGTAAGCTTGATGACCCAAGTTTGATCCTAAAATACACATAAAAAGCCAGATGTAGTGGTACACATCAATAGCCTTGGCACTCTTACAGCAAGATGGGAAGCAGAGACAAGAGAATCACCCAGAGACTCACAGGTCAACTAAGCCTGGAGTACACAGTACAGCAGCAGAATTGGGAGCTCTTGCCTCAGAAAAGTGAAAGGTATGAAATGATTCCCAAAAGTTGTCCTCTGACCTCCACAGACAGACAGACAGACAGACAGAGAGACACACACACACACAAACACAAAATAAATACATAAATATATAAATGCTAACTAAAAATTCTGGAGATTGGTTTCATAACAATGTGAAAATACACTAATAGTACTGAACTGCACAGTTAGAAATAGTTAACATGATAATTTTTATGTTATTTACTGCAACTTAAAATGATCTTTAACAATAATGGGAAAAAAAAGAATGTAGGGTGTGTCCAACATATGTACTACTTCACAAGAATAGCTAAAGAATTGTGAATGAGTTGGCAAATGGATGATTGCATACTAAAGCAGTCAAGAAATTTTTGCTAATAGTGTCTTCAAAAAATTCAGAGACTTGGGTTGAGAGATGACTCAGGGGATAAAGCGCTTCCTCCACAAGCTTGAGGACTTGAGTTCAGATTCCCAAGACCCATGTAAAAAGCTGACATGGTGGCACACACCTATAACCCCAGGGCTGGAGCTGTGGAGGCCGCAGGGGCTCTCTGGTCAGCCAGTCTAGCCAAAAATAGCAAGCTCTAGATTCAGTGAGAGGCCATACCTCCAAAAATAAGAGAAGCGACTGAGGAAAATATCCTGACATCAACTTCTGTCCTCCACATGTGCCCAAGCAGACAAGCATACCCACATACATGTATGCACACACATGTACACATCACACACAACAAAAAAAGAAATCAGACACAAGGATTTACATCTATCAGAAATGACAACATTGCAATTTCAGTATGAGTCTGTATGAAAGGAAATTTCTTTCTTTAGGTTAACTTTTTCTTATCTAAGAAATCTCTAGGGGAGGAATGCAAGGCTCATTTTTCTTTTACACCATATAACAAATAAAAGGAAATTAAGCAATAAAACTTAATAAATTGTACTTATTTTAATCTTGCTAAAAATATTTAGTTGTATAAAGAAAACCATTACAAGCAAAAAAAACAAAATTGTAGTGATAGTTGCACAACTTTATGAATTTACTAAAATTCAGTGAGTGGATCAGTATCATGTGTAGAAATTATACCTTAATAAAAGTGTTTTGTAAAATGTCCTAAAACAAAAGTAAATCATATCAGTATTTTATTCAAACAAGTTCCTTACAAACCAATTCTTCCTAATCAATGAGGCTAATTACCTATTTGGTCTCCTCATTATCACTGGTTTACTGGGCAACTTTGTTGCCATTTGTTGACTTATGAAATTCAATGACAACTCTATGAGACAAGCAAGTTAGCTGTTGTTACTATGAGATAGCAAGCTTTGTTTTTGTTTTTGTTTTCGTTTTGAGACAGGGTCTCCGTGTAACCCATTGACCTGGAACTCACTATGTAGACCAGGCTGGCCTGGATCTCCCAGAGAACCACCTGCCTCTGCCTCCCAAGGACTGAAGGTATGCTCCACCAGGCGAAGCCAGAGATACCAAATAGTTTAAAGCTGGCAGTTGACTTGCCTAAGAACAGAGTAGCATTAAGTATCTATTCCAAAGCAAGTCCAGCTCTTTTCTGTTTTGTTTTGGCTTGGAATTGGTTTGTTTATTCATGTTATTGTTTGGGGACTAGATCATACTATGTAGCTCAAATTTGAACTCTCCATTCTCTTGCTTCAGCTTTCCGAGTGATGGGATTATAGGACTGTATCAGCACACCCTGCCAAGAGGAAGCTCACTCAGCTCTATTGAACCTTATTCTTCTCAACCTAACTGCTTTTCCTCTAGATAATTTTAAATAAAATTTCCTACCTACCATCATAGTCAGGAAAATTTTGCTCCTTAGAGAGTATCATAATAAAGTCATCTAAGTTCAGCATTCCATTTTCTGTAAAACAGTTTAAATTATACATTTTGACATATTTTGTATAAAGAATTTGTTTGCATTTTCATTAAACTATGAGGAAAAAAACTACTTAATCTATTTTTAGATATAATCCCTCCCACAGTTATCATACCAATCCTGATAAGCCAAAGAAATGGTTCAATAATTTTATTAGCACTCATCCAAGTTCACTTTGAAATCAAATTTTCTTTCCTGTCTGCCTTAGTTAAGAAATTGTGCCCAGACTAAAAATTCACTTTTAATGTTATTCACATAATTCTTTCCAAATCTCTCTCCTCAAAATGAGAGTTCCCAAATCTCTCTCCTCAAATGAACTTCTGTGGATAATTTTTTATTACTGATAGTACAACCTCTTTAATTAAAAAAAAAGCCCTTGATAAAAAAAAATCTCTGGAAATGTAAGACCTGCTTTGAAGTTGGACTGGTGACTAAAACATGCCACTAGCATCCAGGTATAAGCACTGCTTTACCCACCAGTTCCAAACTCCTTACACGTGTTAGAATCTGCAATTATTTCCCCTTGAGTCCCTGGCATACCTAATTAGAGATCTTTATGCCCTTCTATTAGACCCTGAACTTCTTTGCAGCCAGTCAGGCTCCCCTGTGCCTGTTCCCACTCTAGAAGACACAGCCAGGGACAACAGTGAGTGGAAAGTCTTACTGAAACAAGGTCTACTTTTCCAAACCAATACATTAGGTTGACTTCACAGGAATTTGTTCTCACTGTTTTCCACTTTCATATCTGTTCTTTTTTCCAGGGTGTGTGTGTGTGTGTGTGTGTGTGTGTGTGTGTGTGTGTCTATACGTGCATGCATGTGTATGTGTGCATATGCGCTGCCATGCCTGCTCAGCTTTTATGGGTTCCAGGACTCCAAACTCTGGTCTTGCACAGCAAAAGCTTTATCCACTAAGTCATCCCACCAGCCCCATTTCTGTTCTTTGTCTTCTTGAGGATGACCCATTTTGTTCTATTCTTGATTAAGAGAAATTCCTTCAACATTTAAACATTTAATACTAGTCCATAAATATATTTATCTTTCTCAAAAGTTTAGAGTTACCCATTTCTCACCATCTCTATGAGTCTCCACCACAATCTTCTGGAACTCTTCATCTGATAAAGCAATCCCCACTGTATTAGTCTGGGTTCTCTAAAGAAACAGAACGGGTAGAATGAATATATATATATAAAGATTTATCAGCTTAGCTCACAGGATAGAGTCCGAGTAGTCCAACAATGGCTGCATCACAATGGAGAGGCTGAGAATCCGTAGTCACTCAGTCCACAAGGCTGGATGTCTCAGTAGTCCCAATCTGGCACTGAAGGTCTTCTCAGTAGTCCCAATCTGGTACTGAAGGTCTGACAAATTCCGAAATATCAGCTAGTCTTCAGTCTACAGCAGAAAGACGAACTCACCAGCAAGAGAGAAGAAAAGCAGCAAGAAGCCTGGCATTCTCCTCTGCCTTGGTCTTTTATACGGGCTGCCATCAGAAGGTAACACCCACATTTAGGGTGTGTCTTCTGGCTTTAGATGATCCAATCAAGAAGTTCTCTTTCATTTCAGTTAATCTCAGATCAAATCAAGTTGACACCCAGGATTAGCCATCACAGACACTGAACGCAAAGTGGACTGAAGTTCTTCTGCAGAAATGTAATTTTCTTGGAGTTTATTGATAGCATCATGGACACTTTCTGAACACAAAATGTAGAATAACTGTACATATCTAAAGCAGTAATTATTACCAAAACCTTTTTGTTGTTTTTATGTTTTAAAATAGAATCTCATTATGCATCTCAGACCAGCCTAGCACTTTCTAAGTAGCTCCACCTGACCTTGAACTCATAGACCTACCTTAGCCTCCTGAGTACTGGGATTACAGGTGTGTACCACTAAGCACTGCTAGTACCTAAAATCTTGAGGAATCAGAGAACGAATTTTACCTACTCAGTATCACCTAACAAAAGGATTGCTTTTGCTGTCGTCTTGTGCTACACTTTTTTCTTTTAGATCTAATACAAAACTATTAAAATTCTGGCACATGACTTTAATCCCAGCACTCGGGAGGCAGAGGCAGGCGGATCTCTGTGAGTTCAAGGTCAGCCTGGTCTACACAGTGAGTTCTAGGACAGCTGGGGCTACAGGGAGACCGTGTCTCAAAAAGACCAAAAAAAAATTCTACAAATTCCTAGAGTTCAGAGGAACAACCTGTTCCAGTGACCCGGGCAATGCTGCTTGCTTCTGATCAAAACATACAGTCCAAGATACCCAAGTATTAATGTGTTTTGTTTAAGTTCCAGAACTCCAAGCAAAATTTAAGAATTCTTTCCCTTCCCATAAATTTATCCTACCATGGTTTGACTACAAACTTTCACATAATAAAATCCTAAAAGCATGTGCATGAGGACAGTATCATTTCTGTGATATTTTGGTAAAAATGTGTAGACTGAATTTACTCATAAAGAAATATAAGGAAAACTCCAAGTGAGGAGTACACAAAATAACTAACTAGTTACCATTCTTTCAAAGTGTCAACTTCATGGAATACTGAGTACTATCCTATACTGAAAGCCTATGGTCGCATGACAACTAAACATATTGTGTAATCCTGGGTCAGATTCTGAAAAAGGACATTCTTGAGACAACTGACAATATTTGAGTAAGGTTCATAGATCAGTCAGTATTGGTATATCAATGGTAATTTCCTGACTTAGATCATTGTGCCATGAATATACAAGATATTAACACACGAGAAAACTAGATGAAAAATATTTGGGAATGTTTTCACTATATTTGCAACTGTTGTGCGTGTAATATCAGGTTTTTTTAAGTTAGATTTTTTTATATTTTAAATCATGAGGCAGTCACATGTCATAGGTACCCTGTTACTACCAATTTGTTTAGGGAAGTTACTTATACCAAATGAACTACTTCATTCTTCCTTACATGAAGAACACAATATAGAAGTGGTAGGTAACTTCATTATATTTGAGTGGTAATAGGTGGCTAGAGCATTGTCTTATGAAGGCCTCATCTACCCACTAGCTAAATGTTTACTCCTCTGTTGTCCTGTAAACTTGGGACTGTTATTCTTATTGAACACAGAGTAACAGCAGCATATTAGTAAAGGATATCAGAATAAATATCCCTAATCTTAATAGATCATATTATTTTTCCAACTTTGTTGAATTATACATTAGTGTATGAGCCACTACTTTAAGCACTCACCTACTATTGCATTAAATACTGAATGTATTTCTAGAGTTTCTTTAGAGAGTAACTTCAGCAGAATATAAGAAGTGTTTAGCAGCTGGAGAGATGGCTCAGCAATTAAGAGCACTAGCTGCCCTTGCAGAGGACCCGGGTTTGATTCCTAGCACCCACATGGCAGCTAACAACTGTCTTCAACTCCAGTTCCAGGAGATCCGACATCCTCTTCTGGCCTCCCATGGGCACTGCATGACATGAGTGCCCTTATATACATGCAGACAATACACTCATACACACAAAATAAAAATAATAAAGTTTTTTTTTAAAAAAAAGAAGTGTTTAAGCTCCATACAAGGTACTTCCATGATGGAAGTAGTACTAAAAGGGAAATGATTATGAAGGTTGTAAAGCCTTGGAAATCTAAGTGGTACAGTATTAGGTAGTCTTTATTAATATTTTCCACCCACAAGAAACAATACCTGAATTGCTAAGAATAGCTTCATATATTTAAATTGTGGAATTTTAAAAATAATTTCACAGATTTTCTGCATATTTAATTATAAAATAAACATCACAAAAAATAGACCCTCTATTTTCTTATGTGTGTATATGTGTGTGTGTGTATGTGCTCATGTGTGCATGGTTGCACACTGAAATGCATACACATGAATGTTGAGGTCAGAGGTCAACAGGTCTTGTTTCTTAAGTGCTGTCCACTATGCATTTTGAAACAGGGTCTTTCATTGATCTGGAGCTCACCAAATAGGCTTGCTGGCTAGCCAGTAAGCCCCAAGGATTCACCTATCTCCAACTCTAAACACTGGAATTACAATTGTGCTGCCATGTCCAGCTTTTTAATGTGGGTTCTGAGAATCAAATTCAGAGCCTTATGATTGCAAAGCAAGCACTTTACTGATTAAACTATTGCCCCAGCCCAGGCTCTCTACTTTCCAAGGAACTTGAATGACTCCAATAAATAACTTCATACAAAGTTAAATAACTCAGATAAAGTTAAGCATCCTGAAACAGGGGTAACTGGAACTATCATCAAATACATAGGATTATATCCATTGACCTGTGTATCAAAAGTAGTTACATGGGCTGACAACTAACAGGTGTCCAGTGACTGATTCGTTCTGCCCATTTCTGCAGACTGAAGAGCACAAATACCAAGATCGTAACTTACGTATGTGGTACTGACCCAGGGTATTAATTGTAGATTTTTCCTTGGATGAAATTGGTTTTAGGGTGCTGGAATGCCTTCTCACAGCTGGCATCTGAGATTTTGGAATATTTGAAACATCACTTTTATCCAGAAACTTATTAATGCTTGTGGAACTCTTCAAGCTATGTGATTTAGATTTGAAGTCTGCCATCTGTGAAAGTTTTTTAAAGTTCATGCCATTTTTTGAATATGGGTCCTATAATCCCACATAATCACTGTCAACTCCACTTGATAATCTTCTAGCTTGTAAAGAAGTTTTTGATGGTTTAGATTCAAGGTCATCATGTTTCTCCATAATTTTACTATGAGACTGATGGGGGGACATGCTCAACTTTTTTAATATTGAAGGTTCAGACAATCTGGAAATTGAGCTGCCTTTCTTCTTATGCTATAGATAGTGTCCTGGTATACTTGATGACTTTCTACTTGAAGCAGTTTCATCCAAGGATGAACCATCTATAAGATAAATACATTGTTATTTCATTTATAGTACTGTTTGCATGACATTTAACAACTAGGTCCTCATAAAAGACATTCAAAAATTATCAATTTCTTAGATATATTTAAAAATAACTATTGAAAAATTGAAAGGGCTGATGATCAAAAGATTAAGCTATTAGCCAGTATAAATGTAATCTTATAGTTTATTACATCTAAATACTTTCATCCAAATCTATTTAAAGTTAAAATAAAACTACTGATAGTCTCATGGGATGTTGCAGGTTCATTCTCCACTCCTCAATTAGAAAGACAACAGGTTAAGAAGATAATACAGATAGAAATATCTTCATTGTAAGTGTGCATAACTATGAGGAAGCTACAGATGGGAAGTTTTTGTTTATAAGGTTAGAAACCAAATAATCACTCTCATAATTACTCTCAGTGTTTGTGGGTAGAAAATAATTTCATACATAAAGTCTTATCTTGGGTTTGAGAGATGGCTCTTGCAGAGGACCCAGGTTCGATTCCCAGTACCCACATGGTGGCTAACAACTGTCTGTAACTCCAATTACAGAAGAGGGATCCAACACCCTCTTCTGACCTCTGCAGGCATTGCATAACACAGGTGCACTTACACACATGCAAGCTATACACTCAGACACATAAAATAAAAATATATTTAAAAATACATTCCTATCTTTAGAAAAAATATTAACATGTCAGAAGTTGCAGCTTCATTTATAATATTAATATGATAGTTCAGAACTATGTTTTATTTATGACTAGCACATTTTAGATTATTTCAGGAGTGATAATACTTAATCCTCAACACAACTCTATAAGACTGCAAAATATAACAACTTGACAGAACAGCAATATAATCTTGACTATGAAGCAATTCATCCAAACACTGGAAAAGTTACATAGTTTTATCTGCATGAGAATACACTGAAAATAATATTTGGGTTCTAAAATTCTAGAAGTCATTAAGGATTGCATAAATCTCTAAATTGCTATCTAACAAAGAGGAATAGGCTAGTAAATGGATAAAGATTAAATCTTTGACACTTCTACTTTGGAATTTGGACCATTTAAAATGGTCTACCCATTATTTCTGGTTAAGTTGACCCTCATTCTCTGAATGGCTTTTCTAGAAAAACAAAACTGAAATAAGTCCTTATTTCTTCAGCTGTGCAGACATTAGCATAAAGCAACAAGAAGCATGAAAAACTGCAGAGCCTAACACCACCAAAAGAAGACAGTAACCTCCCATTCGCTGATCCCAAAGAAATATAAGTATGCCAACTGCTTGACAAAGAATTCAGAATCATAATTCTTAAGTAACCTGAGTAAGTTTTCATGTTTCAAAAAATGAATTCTATTAAATCTGGAAGATAATGTCCAAAATTACAAATTTAACAGAGAAATTCAACTTATAAAACAAAAAATTCTGGAACTGAAAATATAATGAACAAATGAAAAATGCAGTAAAGTATGACAAAATTGATCAAACATACAAAAAGCAATCTCCAAACTAGAAACTCAGGGGCTAGAGAGATGGCTCAGTGTTTAAGAGCACTGACTGCTCTTGCAGAGGACCTGGGTTCAGTTCCCAGCACCCACATGATAGTTGTCTTTAACTCCAGTTCCAGGGTATCCATGCCCTCTTCTGGCCTCCGTGGGCACTGCAGACATGTGGTGCACTTACATACATTCAAGCAAAACACTCATAAAAAATTTAAAAAGGGCTGGAGATGGCTCAGTGGTTAATAATGCTTGCTGTTCTTCCAGAGAATTCAGGTTCAATTCCCAGCACCCACATGGCAGTTGACAAGTGTCTATAACTCCAGTTCCAGGGGATCCAACATGCTTCTGTTTTCTATGAGCACTGCATGTGCATACATGGTGCATTTACATACATGCAGGCAAAACACTCAGACATATTAAATAAAAATAATAAATAAAATATTTTTTAATTTTTTTAAACCCAGAAACTCAAAGACAGATTATTTGAAAATATGCAGTTGGGCCAGGTGTGGTGGTTCACACCTTTAATCACTAAGGAGGCAGAGGCAGGCATATCATTGTGAGTTTGAGGCTAGCCTGCTACATAGAAAGTTCCAGGCCAGCCAGGGCTACAAAGTGAGACACTGTCTCAAAAAAAAAAAAAAGAAAGGAAGAAAGGAGGGAAGAAAAGAAAATATGTATGTAATCACAGGAGTCAAAAATAATGAAAAGGGAGAATGGAGAGATGGCTCAGAGGTTAAGAGCACTGGCTATTCTTACAGAGGACCTGGGTTCAGTTCCCAGCACCCATAGGGCAGCTAACAACCCTCTGTAACTCCAGTTCCAGGGGAATCTGACACCCTCTTCTAGCATTTGTGGGTATTGCACACACATGGCGGACTTACATACATGCAAGCAAAACACTCATACACATAATATACAAATAAGGGGCTGGAAAGATGGCTAAGTGGGTAAGAGCACTGGCTATACTTACAGAAGACCCAGGCTGGATTCCCAGCACCCACATGATGGTTAACAACCATTCATAACTTCAGTTCCAGGGGTTCTAACTCCTTTTTCTGGCCTCCTAGGGCTTTGAACAACATGGGTGCACCTACATATACACAAGCAAAATATTCATATGCATAAAATAAGTAAATAATACAAATAAATAAAATTAAAGATAATTAAAAAACAAAGCATATAAAATTTATGGGAGAGGTTAAGCAATAAATATCCAACATACACAGGGTTTGTGAAGAAAAAGAAAGACAGTGGGGGTAGAAAGTTTACATTAAAAAAAAGAGCAGGTAACTTTCCAAATTTGGGAAAAGATATAAATATTCAAGCACAAGAAAGCCTGTAGGAATGACTTATTAATGGACATCATCTGGACCAATGACTTTTAATTAGCCCCAGCAAACCATGTCCTTGCTCTTGGATCTGTTGACCAGGGCAGCTCCTTGATAACCTCAGTTCGGTACTCCATCCAAAAAGATAATGAATGAATGTGGGTATGCTTGAGAAGTAACAGATCAAAGTGATACAAGCTGTGCACCCACCCACTGGAAACAGTGGAGGTTGAGATGAATGATATGATGGCTCAGCAGTTAAGAGCACTGGATACTCTTGCAGAGGACCTTGATTTGGTTCCCAGCACACACATGGCGGCTAACAATCATCCTTAACTCCAGTTCCACGGGATCCAACACCCTCTTCTGACCTCCACAGAAATTACACAATATGGATGCACTTACATACATACAGGAAATACAGACCATCGGGTCTACTGAATTAAGGGTGGAGCCAAACCTAAACTTGTACTTCCCCCAATGAAGCTGGAGAAACCATTCTGAATAAATTATGGGTGTAGATAAATATTTTAGGGTGTCTAATCTTTCTGTTAAGGGAAGGATGTGTGTGTATCCAAGCCATTTTTGCCTGCAGGGAAAAGCTGGACTTGACATGTACATCCCAAAGAACCTTTTCTTTCCAGAGTTTGGTTGATAAGAAACAGCTAGAGATCAGGACTCAGTTGAAAATATTCTCCCAAATCAAGTATTCTTGTTTAATTGTTGGTTATAAAGACTTAAGTATAAGGAAGAAGAAAGTTAAACTCACTCTCTGGTCTTTCAGACATGGACCAAGGAGTTGTGGGAGTGCAGTACCCTCAAGAAGCAAGGTATCCCCACTCTAGGGACTGTTCAAGAAGGATGGGGTAACCTCAACCCCAGAGCAAAATGTTCTGCAGCACTAAGAAGAGTATGTAGTCAAGGAATAAACTTCTATTTTAAAAGCAAAAAAATAGAGGAAGGAAGGAAGGAAGGAAGGAAGGAAAGGTCGATGGTCTACTGAAATAAGGGTGAAGCAAAACTTGAACTTCCCCAAGGAACCTGGAGAAACCATTTTGAATAAATTATGGGTGTGGACAGCTATCCACTTTTTTTTTGAGACTGTTTCTCTCCTTGACCTGGGGCTTGTCAATTAGACCAGATTGGCTGGCTAGTGAGCCCCAAGGATCTGTGTCACCACTTTCCCAATGCTAGAATGACAAGCACACTTCACGGCACTCTTTTTTTTACAGTATCACAATAAAGAAATGGATAAATAGATGACAGCTAGATAGATACATAGATAAGTAAATAAAGAAAAAGGAGAAGACTCAAAAATTAGAGAGAAGACATTATAACTGATACCATAGCTACACAAATGAAAATACCTACTATAGACAATTATACCTAAACAAATTGGATATCTAGAAGGGATAAAGTCCTAGCAACATACAGCCTTCCAATTGAATCATGAAGAAATAGAATATTTGAATAGACAAGTAACAAGTAAAAATATCTCATCAGTAATAAAAGTCTTCCATCAAAGAAAAGCCTGGGACCTGATGATTTCACTGCTAAGTACCAGGAAACATTTAAAGAACTAATACAATTCCTTCTCAAACACTTCCCAGAAAATTGAGGAAGAAATATTCTAAACTCATTCTTTTAAGATTTTTTTTAATTATGTGTATATGTGTGGGTGCACATCTTAGTGCAGGTGCCCAGAGCCCAGAAGAGGGTGTTGGATTCCCTGGAACTGGAATTACAGGTGGTTGTGAGCCACCTGACAAGGGCACTGGGAATCAAAATTGGGTCTTTTCCAAGAGAAGTATGTGATGTTAACTGCTGAGCCATCTCCCTAGCACCACTAAACTCATTTTAGAAGGTCAGAATCACCCTGCTACCAAAGCCAGAGAAGAACACCACACAAAAAGAAAATTACAGGACAGTATCTCAAGAAACACAATACAAAAATTCTCAACAAGCACTAGCAAACTATATTCAAAAGAATATATAACTCTCACCATGATCAAGTGATTTATATCTAGAATTCAAGGATGGTTCAACACATAGAAATCTATACATATGATGTATGTTAACACTATGAAGTAAGGCTGGCAAGATGACTCAGCAAGTAAAGGTGCTGACCTACACACACACACACACACACACACACACACACACACACTACATAAAGGTAATAAAAAACTTTTTAAGCAGTATGAAAGACAAAAATAATTTGGTGATAATTTCAATAAATTCACAAAAGGCATTTGATAGAACTGAATATCCTTTAATGACAAAAATCGTTCAACAAATATATAGGAGAAATGTACTTCAACACAATAAGTCACACGTGACAAACCCATACCTAACATCTCAGTAATGAAAAGTAAAGACTTCCTTTAAGGTCAAGAATGATGTTCACTCTTGTCACTTCTTTAAAAATAGTACTAGAACAGCCATAGAAATTAGGAAAGAGAAAGAAAAGGCACCCAAGGTGGAGGGGTGTTAATAGTCCGTCTTTGTAGAATATGGGATCTTATAACTAGAAAACCCTAAAGACTCCACTGAAACACATTAGAACTAAATTAATCCAATGAAGTTTCAGGATAGAAAATCATCATACAAAATTCAAAATGGATAAAAGACCTAAATGTAGGATCTGAAACTATGAATCTGCTAGAATAAAATATGGGTGCAACATTCCAAGACCTTAATATGGGCAACAATTTTTATATCATCCCAAAAGCAAAAATAGATAAAAGATTATATTAAACTAAGAAGCCTCTAAAAAGTCTAGGAAATAGCAGTCTATTTAATGAAAGAAGAATTTATAAAATACTCATCTGACAAAAATTATACCCAAAATATATAAGAAAAATTTTATAAGCCTAACAAAAAACCCAAGTAATCCAATTAAATATTTATCTATCAGCCAAACATGAGGACAGAATCAGATAGAGAAGAATCGAAAAGGCAGTAAAATGAAATCCTTGGATGTTAACTGCATGTAAGATACAAATGTCAACAAAATCCATATTAGTTCTCCAATATTCAATTTGATGGACCTATACATTAGAATACTCAAAAGCAATTTTCTTTAGTAAGACAAAGCTTATCTGGTACATCAATTTTATTTGGTTTTTTGAGCCAGAATCTTACTATATGACCCTGGCTGGCCTGGAACTTGATATGCAGACCAAGCTGGCCTCCAACTCACAGAGATCCACCTGCCTCTGCCTCCCAAGTATTGGGATTAAAGGCATGCACCACCATGTCTGGCTGGTGCATCCAATTTTACATGGGGGGGGTCTGTATTTTTGTTTTTGCTTGGTTTTTTTTACATCTGAGAGAATTTGGGGTCAAATAGTAATAAAAATACTCAAAAAACCCAAATAAATGACAATTATTAAAGAAGAGATAAAAGATTGTACAAAAAAGAAATAAAGTATAAGATAATATATAACTCATCTGTAGATAGTGTTTTCATAGGTATACTAATACTGAATTAGAAGTTTACCAAATTGTTATATAAATATATTGGGGGTGAATATGGATGGGAAGAGTTGTGTATGTTGAAGACACAGAAAATGAAATAAAACTGAAGTTTTTTTCATAGCAGGACATTTACTATATCCACTGAAAATTCTAAAAATGTTAATTTTTTTAAAGTTCCCAACAAATGATAAATGTTTGAGGAGATGTAAATACTAATTATCCTGAATCAAATAAGTTATAAGTATAAATATCAAGAAATAAACTAAGATATTTAAAATAACTGCCTCTAGAATAGTTAAAGAGGATAAACAAAGACAGGGCTTCTTTTTGAAAAAGCTTAATAAAAGTGTAAAAGTATACAGTTTTTAATAATTATGGGCATAGATAATCTTGACTGAATGATATTTGGACAAATGAAAGGAAATTTAAACTGTGAAATGAGATGCAACAAGCGATCAAAAAGAATGTACCTAAGAAAAATTACACTAGGGGTTGGAGACATGGCTCGGCAGTTAAGCGCACTGGCTGCTCTTGCAGAGGACCCAGGCTCGATTCCCAGTACCCCACATGGTAGCTAACAACTGTCCATAACACCAGTTCCAGGGAAATCCAATATCTTCTTCTGACCTCTACAGGCATTGCACAACACTGGTACACATACATGCAAGCAATACATTTAAACACATAAAATAAAATAATTAAATATATAAAAAATTAAAATTATACTAAATAATTGGCAATAGCAAAGAATATGCAAAAAATTTGAAGAATCAATGTCAGGATATCAAAATATCCTACAATTTTTAAATTAAATATTATCATTTTAGTATTCCTATTTTGTTGTAAAGTTGACTTTATGTTGCAATGTATCAAGGACAAGATAAGAAAATTATGAGATATGAGTGTATATATCATGAGATATTCATTATACAATCAATATTTAAAAGAAATAAATAGAGTTCCATATTAAATTTTTAACTCCTTGATTTAAAAGTTAGAGAAAGGCATTCAGAAAATATTTTCATTACTCATTATAAGATAAAAACCTGTAAGTTAGGACTTAACCTAAAGATTACTTGTTTATAAAAAAAAATTGCGATAGCCACAGGAGTTCCCTTACAAACATCTTCATACTGTTGCTGCAGGTCTTCCAAAGTAAACAGAATATCCCCAATACCCACTGTGTTGTCGCCTGAAATATAAAGAGGAATTTCAAATTCTCCATCTTCTTTGGACACAAATATAGATGCCCACCTAATCTAATATGAAAACAACACAGAAGTGTGTGGAAGTCAGATCAGAGGCTGACCTCATTATGAGTTTTGAATATTCTCTGAATTCTTAATAACTCAGTACACAGTGAAGTATAAAATTAAAACCACAGCTTTTCCTCTTAATAAAAGAATTTATCATAGGAAATTGCCACCGTTTAAGCTGATAAGCTATACAATGTGCTTAAGTTTATAAAATTTTTTGAGAATTTACTATAGGTAGCACATATATACATATATATTATAGGTATTTTCTCTCTCAATTTCTAGATTGTGAGTCCAAGAACAGGGAATGTGTCTTTCACCTCTGTCCCCAATACCTGGCAAAGTATTTACTTCCTATCACTTAAAAATGATTTTTGAACCAGGGGCTGGAGAGACGGCTCAGCTGTTGAAAGCTTACTGGCTGTTCTTGCAGAACACGTGGGTTTGAATCCCAGCACCCACATGGCAGCTAATAACCCTACATAACTCCAGTTCCAGGGGGATCTGACACCCTCTTCTGTCCTCCACAGGCACTGCATGACATGGGTACACTTACACACATGCAGGCAATACACTCACACACGTGAAATAAAAATTAATTAATTAAAATTTAGAAAAAGTGATTTTGAAGGCCAGGCATGGTAGGGCATGCCTGTAATCCTAGCACTGGCAAGGCAGAGACAGGCAGATCTCTCTGAGATCAAGACCAGCCTGGTCTACATAGTAAGTTCCAAGACAGCTGGGGTTATAGGGACGCCCTGTCTCAAAAAAGGAAAAAAAAGAAAGAGGGGGGGGGGGTTCGAATGGGCAAAATATACTGAAGACTGTAAAGAATATGCATCGGAGATGCTAGCAGAATGGCGCTAACAACATCACGCCCTCGGGTAGAATAACAACTACATTATAACTCACTTCTAAATTCTAATTCAGAAAAAAAAACATGTTTCTTATGTGGGTGATCCAAATCTTTTGGTTTCCTAAAGTCATCATTTCCTTTAATATTTAAAACCGCTCAAGACTCCACACCATAAATAACAAAAATCAGTGTCTGTCCAAACATTGAGAGTTTCTGAGCAGTTTATACTTTTGCAGTCAATTTTGTTTGTTTTCTACTCTCATAGGTTTTTGAGATAGTTTTTGAGATAGGATCCCACAGTGTAGCCAAGGCTGACCCGGAACTCACTATGCAGCCCATGCTGGCCTCAAACCACAGCAATCCTTCTGCTTCTGCCTCCCAAGTGCTGGGAGTACAGGCATTGTACCACCACCTCCGGCTCCCAGACAGTCTTGATCTCACAACACCACTTTCTCCACCTCAAGAAGCTCCAACACAGAACCTGTAGCCTTTCTCCTTTACTAATATACATAACGCAAGTAAGGGAGTTCAGGAAAACACAGCAAACAACTACAGTTTGAAGTTTTCTGGTCATTCCTATCAACTGCTAGATTCCTGGTCATCCACTACTAGTTTCTGTCATCTTCTTTGAGCCACTACTCTGCCAAATTCCTCTTGTTTTCTGTTGTTTCTTCAGAGTACTTTGACCTACATTTTTGCTCAATTTAGGTGCTTCCCAAGGATTTTAATTTTCATAATCAAACATGCCTATTTAAATGATTTTCATAGGGGCTGGAGATACAGCTTACTGGAGAGTGTTTGGTTAGCACACTTAAGGCCTTGGGTTCAAACCACAGTAAAACACCACACACACACACACACACACACACACACACACACACACACACACACACAGTTTAATAATGAAAAGACAAGGAACTCTGTGTGTGTGCATGTGTGTATGTGGTGGTATGTGGGGTACATATGTGTGAGCACATGTATGTGCAGGTGAGCAAGCCTGTGTACGTCCATGTGAAGGTCAGAAGTGGACATGAGGATATCTTCCTCTATCACTCTCCATTTTATTTTTTGAGATAGGGTCTCTTCACTAAACTGGAAGCTTGCCATTTTGGCTACACTGGCTGGTCAACAAGTCTTCAAGATCCACCTATCTCCACCCCCATCCCCCCCAAATCCAGCACTAGGATTACAGACATGCACTGCCACGCCTGGATTGTACATGAGTGTCAAGCATCAAAAATCAGGTCCTTATACTTGCACAGGAAGAACTTTACACGCTGAGCCATTTCACCAACCTCAAGACCTTCTTTATGAGGAATTTTGCTTTATAATTCAGCCAACTTATTAACATTTCAAAAAGAACATCTTCACTCTGATTGGAGCAAAGGAAATCATAATTATTAATTCCACACTTATTCATTGGCAGTTAATATATGCTAGAAGCACTCTTCTAAGCATTGAGGACAAAACATTGAGCCAAAGCAAAGGGCTGGGGAACTGGCTCAGTGAATAAAGTGTTGCTACACAAACATGAGGACCTGAGTTTGGATGCTCTGCGCCCGTATTCAAGCTAAGCTGGACACCACACACTTGTAGCTCCAGAGCTGGAGGAGGCAGAGACAGGCAGATTCCCAGGGCTCAATGGCCAGCCAGTATAACCAAAATAGCAAGTTCAAAGTTCACTTTGTATCCAAAAAAAAAAAAAAAAAAAAAAAAAAAAACGCTGATACCCATAGAGAAAAATATCCAAAGTCAATTTCTGACAGATAGTGGGGGGTAGGAGAGGTAGGAGAGAGGAGAGAGAGAACTGTACTCAGGCATGCACACATGCACATATGTGCACACACACACACCACAAACATAACTAAGAAACTGAGCAAAAGTAGACTTAATATCTACACACTTAGTACTTAGTTTTATTTGAGATATAAATGTTAAAAAAATTTGAAACACAAACTGCAACTATAATTAGTACTATGAGGTGTACAACTTAAGAATGTAATCTAGTCACAGGTCAGGGAAAAAATCTTAAATAGAAAGTTAAGTTTAGATCCAAAGCATAAGTAGGAATTAACTAGGAGAAAAGGAATGTTCAAGAAAGAAAAAAGAAAACATGCAATGGCTCTTTGGCAGGAAGGGGCATGTTATGAAATTCTGAAAGGGCACAGAGCATGGTCTGAGATAATACTGGAGATTGCATAAAGGCCAGACCATGCAAGGCCCTGGACACACCTTAAAATGTTCTGTATTCCATGAACTATTATTAAATTCTATGTAAAGAATCTGTGCTATGATCAGATCTGTGCTTTGAAAAGATCATTTTGCCTCCAGCACAAAAGGGATCAAAACTGGTATGTGTAGACTTGTGTGGCTGAACTGCAGTGGTCCCAAGGAAAGGTGTGCCCATTTGGATGAAAGTGGGGAAATAAAAAGATTTCAGAGGTATCTCAGAGTTTAAAATAAGAGAACTTAAGAATGATAGAGATATCAGGGATGCCTTGGGCTTCTGCCTTGCCTTTCTGTTCATGGTGCCAAACTCTGTTATAGAAGCGTATATCCAATTCCCACAATAATCCTATCTAATTAGTATAATTTTTCAAGTATATCTCCCCAAATAAAGTAGGTGACCTGGAGATGGAAGACTCAAATCAGAATCCATAAGTCAAAAAGCAAGGTGTTACAACAGTTTCATATGTAATCTCTGTGTTCCTGGTAAGGCATACTGTAAAAACTGTTTGATAATATAACTTGAAGTTTGTCTTTTAAATCTCCATTTTACAGGGGCTGGTTTAGAGGTTAAGAGCACTTGTTGCTCTTTTGACTTGGGTTTGGTTTCCAGCACCCACACAGCAGCTAATGACTTTTTCCAGTAACAAGGGATCCAATACCCTCTTCTGGCCTCCATGGGCACTGCACACACATGGTGCACTTACATACATGCAGGCAAAAAACACTCATATACATAAAATAAATTTAATTTAAAAATAAAATCACTGTTTTACAAAATTTTTTGTTATGTGTACCAGTGTTTTGCCTCCATGCATATAAGTTCACTATATGCATGTAGTACCCCCAGAGACCAGAAGAAGGTGTCAGATCCCCTGAAACTGGAGTTAAGCTGCCATGTGCGTGCTGAGAACCAAACCTGGGTCCTCTGCTAGAGCAGCAAGTAGTCTTACTGCTGAGCCAACTCTCCAGCCCCACCAATGTCGTTGTACTCAAGTAGATGCCTCCACTCACATTTCCCATCCCAGAGCTCACCATCAATAACAACCTATAGCACTGGGGGGCTGAAGCAGGAGGATTAGCACAAGTCCGAGGCCAGCCTGGGATACAAAATGAATTCCAGACTAGTATGGGCTACAAGAGTAAGACCCTGCTTCAAAAACAAAGATACAAACAAATGAACAATATCCCAGTAGAACTCTACAGAGCCTGGTTCTATCTTCAAACCACTACAGTCATCACTAAAAAATAGCAAAGGCCAGTGAAGCCCACCCAAAAGGATACAGTATCTGACTTTTCCATCACATTTATACAAGCTGTTATCTCAGCCTACATCGTTTCTGTCAACCTTCACCACCACTTCATCCAGTTAACCCCTACTGACCCCTCAAGACTGAACTCAGACATCACCTTCTGTGAGAATCTCTCTCTAGCACTTCCAATAGCAGCTTTGAGTACCAATCATTGCAATTTTAGTTTCCTTGCCTCTTTCCACACTATAACTGTGTTTCATTCATCTTTATTCCACCTGTCATTAATCCAGGCACAGTAGATATTAAATGGACAAACCACTTGATCAATCACTAACCAGTCCATTATTGTATGACATTGTTTGGTCAAACAAACATATCATTCGGAACATCTCCTATATATTTATAATATTTTTAAGCAAGATAAAACATGTACAGGATAATCAAACAGAATAGCAAGCAATTTAAATCAAAACTACATAGTGAAATTGAGAATTCAAGAACTATCTCCTAATTTGTGAAGTCAATATCTTTCTCTGCTACTATAAGAATTTATGGGGCTGGAGAGATGGCTCAGCAGTTAAGAACACTGTTGTTCTTGCAAAAGACCTGGGTTTGAATCCCAGCACCCACATGGCAGCTAACAACTGTCCATAACTCCAGTCCCAGGGGATCCGACAGCCTCATCTGACCTCTGCAGGCATTGCACAACACGGGTGCACTTACCTACATGCAGGCAATACATGCATACACATATAATAAAAATAATAAATTTTAAAAAAATTTTAAAAGAAAATTTACATCTCTACAAAGAAACGATTTTAGCTACTTTTTATTTATTTATATTGTATATGTGCATATGTATGCATGTTCATGTGTGTGCAGGTCACATGTATGGGTGAGTGTTCATGTGTGTGCATATGTGTAGAGGCCAGAGGTTGACCTCATGTTATATCTCAGAAGCCATCCTCGGTTTTTGTTTTCTTTTTTTTAATTTTATTTATTATTTTTATTTATGTGTATGCATGTATTGCCTACATGGTGTCGTGCAATGCCCATGGAGGTCAGAAGAGGCTATTGGATCCCCTGGGACTGGAATTATGGACAGTTGTTAGTTGCCATGTGGGTGCTGGGATTCAAAGCCAGGTCTTCTGCAAGAACAACCAGTGTTTTTAACTGCTGAGCCATCTCTCCAGCCTCAGTTTTTGTTTTCTTGAGACAAGATGTCTCATTGGTTTGGAAATTGCCAAGTAGGTTAGGCTAGGCTGGCCGACCAATGCACCCCAGGGGTTCGCCTGTCTCAGCCTCCCTGGTGCTGGAATTACAAGCATGCCATCAAGTCCAGCTTTTTTTTTTTTTTTAACATGGGTTCTAGGGGTCAAACTTGAGTCGCCATTCTTGTAAGACAAGCACTTAACCAACTAAGCTATCTCAGAACCCCAATGTTGGGTTTTTTTTAAGTTCATTTTACTTTTTCTAAACACCAAAAATAGAACAATTTTAGAAGTTCTTCATCTGTTTTCTACACTTTATGCACAGCTATCAGTAAGCAGTATCAGTAGCAAGAGGTACAATCAAGAGGGAAATGAAGACATAGAGGCCAAAAATGAGAAACAAAATTGAAATACAAAATTCAAATCACTCACTGTCCACATAAGTGTATCTTAGCACTTCTTTGAGGATTTCAGGGCTTACAGGAAGATCCAGGCTTTCCAAAACAGCAGCCACTTCATCAATGGCAACTCTACCACATTTCACCTTAGAAAAAGTCCTCCAGACATCCTGGAATGCTGGGAGAAAATGATGAACAGAAATTATTGTACTGAAAAAAAAATGTTCTGTAAGAATCAACAACTTTTCCTGCAGAAGGAATTGAGTTTGTACCAATAACCTAATAAGGAGAAAATAACCCTATATAGGCATAAGGTTTTCTAAATATTTACCTTCAAGTAGGCATTTGCCCAATTCTGGCTTTCTCTCTCCTCTCTCTCTTCCTTCCCCTCCCCACCCTTCCTCCCCCCCCTCCTCTCTCTCTCCTTGTTCTCTCTTCCTTCTGGCCACATTTCTAACACAAATTCTAATTTTTTACTATCATTACCATTACTATAATACAATAGCTGGTGTTTATTGAATAATGATTATGTTTTAGGTACTATACAAAACAGTGTGGGTGATTTCATTCACTCATCACAAAGAGGCTACCAAGCAAGGATAATGGGGTGAATATAATCAAAGCACATTATGTACGGGGCTGGAAATATGGCTCAGTGGTTAAGGGCACTGGCTGCTCTTGCAGAAGACCCGGGTGTGAGTCCCAGCACCCACATGGCAGCTAAAAACTATCAGTAATTCCAGTTCCAAGGTATTCAACATCATCTTCTGACCTCCATGGGCCTTGCACAGCACAAGTCCACCTGCCTACATGCAGTCAATATGTTCATACACATAAAATAAAAAAATAACAAATAAAATATAAAGATTTTAAGTACATCATGTACCTATATGAAAATGCCATCATGAAACCCATTAATTTATACAATGAATATAAACTAAATAATAAATAACTTAACTATAGTACAAGCAGACCACAAGACAGAAATCATTATTCCTACTTTATAAATGAGGAAACTAAGACCTGGAAAGTTACCTTTGATACACAGCTAGTAAGTAGAAAAGCCAGAATTCTACATTACTCCGCAGTGCTTGTTTTGAGTCACTGTTCTATTCTTACCTCTTCAATTTTTTTGATGTGTATGAGTGTATTGCCTGCATGTATGTAAGTACATCTGTGTCATACAAAGCCCACAGAGGTCAGAAGAGGGCATCAGCTCTCCTGGAACTGGAGTTACAGACAGTTATTGGCTGCCACGTGGGTACTGGGAATTGAACCCAGGTCATCTGCAAGAGCAGTCAGTGCTCTTAACTGCTGAGTCATCTCTCCAGCCCCGCCTCTTAAATTTTTTAAATATAGCAATTCTTAGCAGTGGTATAATAATCTACAATAGTAAAGCAACTTAATATAAAATCTGGGGGCATTATGAATTTCTTAAAATAAAATGTAGAGGCTGGAGAGATGACTTAGTAGTTAAGAACACTTTTGCCACAGCCATGAGCATCTGAGCTCAGATTCAAGCATTAACATAACAACATGGGCATGGTCTCCCAGGCATGATCTCACATGCACCTATAGTCCAGTTTGGTGAAGGATAGAGACAGGAGGATTGCTGGGGTTTGCTGGCTACCAGCCTAGGCACAAAAATGTGAAGTCCAGGTTCAGAGAGAGACCCCATGTCAAAAGGAGTAAGGCAATAATGAGTGAAAGAGGCCACCCAATGCCCTCCTCTAGTTTCTGTTCATGTTCTCAAAATGTTTTAAAATGAAATGAATTTTATAATAAATATTAATTAACCTTTAGTCTAAAAAGCAAAGAAAAACTATAGCTGGAGGAAATATTTGTAACATATATAACAGAGGATTAAGAGAATGTGAATAATTTTCAGATCATTAAAGAATTAACAACCTAAGGTTCTTTGGGAGTTTTGATATTTTGTTTTGTTTTATTTTGCTTTGTTTTGTTTTTGAGACAGGGTCTCTTATAGTCCAGGCTTGTCTCAAGCTCACTATGTAGGTTGAGGATAATCTTGAGTTCCTGATTCTCTTACTTCCACCTCCCAACTTCAAGGATTACAGGCATGTGTCACTATGTTGTTTACGCAGTACTGGGGATTGAATCTAGGACTTTGTTCATGCTTGGCAAGCACTCTACCAACTGAGCTACATCCCCAAATGCCACCAACCCAGTTTTTTAAATGGACAATAAACATGAAAAGGAAATTCTTAGACAAAAACATATAAATGACTAGTGTTCTAGTTTCATTTGTGTTGCTGTGATAAAATACCCTCCTTGTGGGAGAAAGGGTTTATTCAGCTCTCAATTACAGAGTCAACCTATCATAGCAGAGAAGTCATGGTGGAGCTTGAAGCAGCTGGTCACATCCACAATCCAGACAAAGAGAAATGGATGCAGGTTTTCTGCTTGAGTGCTTAGCTAACTCTCTTCATTCTATACAGTTCTGGGCCTCTTGCCTAGGGAATGGTGTCACCTATGGTGGTGTGGGTCCTTCCACACCAATTAAAGCAACCAAGACAATCCCCCACTGACATCCACACAAGTCCAACCTGATCTAGGAAATTCCTCAATTGAGGCTCTCTTCCTAGGTGATTCTAGGTTGTGTCAAGATGACTGCTGAAACTAACCAGCATGCCTAAACTATATTAAGAGATGACAAATTTCATAGCTGAGAAATATAATCAATACAAGATGTATTTCTGACACTATAAAAAGAAAAGCATGCCTTTCTCTCAAAGTAAAAAATATTCCTATTTTTTCTTTACCTTCTAGAGAGATCTTTTTAAAATTTTTGTTAGCATACGCTAACTATACATAGTACTGGGTTTCGTTATGACATTTTCATACATATATATTTTGATCATATTCATATGCATTACCCTCTTGTCCCCCTCCTGCTAACCCCTTCCTCTTTCCAACTAATTAACTTTCTACTTTCCAGTCTTTGCTGCTGCTGCTGCTGCTGCTACTGTTGTTGAACCAATGAGTTTAACTAGGGCTACTTATAGGAGAATGAGCAGTTATTTACAGGAGCTAGGTATTTTACTAGTGGCCACATCACTGAGGAAAATGTGGAGAGATCTCTTTATTTCCAATAGCAGATTGGCGTTTGGTTTTATTTTTATTAGCTTCTATAAAACCTAGGTCTTCTGATTCTCTTTTGCTACTAATTAACAGTTGCCTTGACAAAATATCAGTATTATGAATGCATGTATGTATGTGTATATATATGTATAGATATATTTATAATGGTTTATAAAAAGTATTCTAGTCAGGCATAGTAGTGCATGTCTATAATCCCAGTGCTTGGGAGATAGAGGCGAAAGAATCAAGCATTCATGGCTAGCTTCTCAATGTATAGTGAATTCAAAGCCAGGCTAAGTTGCAGGAGACCCAGTCTCAAAAGTAAAAGTATTCTAAGGTCAATATTAAACTTGTCACAAGCTAGGAGAGGCTGAAAATTTTTACAGATCTATACACACCCATATACATTGCTTAAATTATTTTATAATTAAATTTTTATTTTTGAAGGAATTTCATACATGAATACTGTATTGACATCATTTCCATCCCTCACCTCCAACT